TAGGCCCGTGCTAAGCTCATTATAAACATCTTATTTAGACCTCACAACAGCCCTAAAAGGGCAGTGAACTATTACCTCCGTTTTACAGATGGGTAAATTGACTTCAGAAAGAAGCAAACAGAGGTAGGATTTCAAACCTGGGTCTGACTCCTACCCACTAAATGCCATAAAAACTCCATTTTAAAAAAGAAGTTACAAGGCCTGTGTTTTTATATCTACCTATAGATATACCTAAAAGTGTATGTTTATAAATGTGTATATATATATATATATATATATATATATAAAATAGTTCCATTCTCAAGAACACAAGTATTTTAATAAACAACCACAGATTTCCACACTGAAGATGGGCCTGAATTCATTTTGTTGAAAGTCCCTGCTTTTTATCTGAGCAGTTTGTAAACAAACACAGAAACAACCCTGTTTGCACTTTGCCGACTCCCCTCTGCCTTGTCCTCCACGGTCCAGAAGGGACAGGCTCAGGGCCTCAGCCAGTCGCCATGGCAACCGCCAGGCAGACCCGACCCAGCTCGGAGGTGGGTCAGAAAGCTGTGGAACACGGGAAGCGGACCCCCAGGAGGCCTCCAAGTCACCACCACCATTCCTCCCCCGGGGTGGTCCCACCATAGAAGCCGAAGCCACTATCCCCAGCCCCTCTGGGCAGAACCACGGATCGGGTTTCCTTCACCCCTTCTTTTGGCGGGGGTGGGTGATGTAGAGAGAGGAGGGTCTCATTTATATTTAAGAAAAGCAAGAAGATAATTTCTGCCTGGGGGAATGGAGCTGGGAGGAACCGTGGTCCTTCACCTCCTCGGCTCACCTGAAGCCCTGCCGCCTCGCCCCTCCCTTCTACACGGAGGGCTCATCTGCGCACGCTCCCTGCGGTGGGGGGGAGGGGGGAGGGAGAGGATGGGAACCCACTCCCGGGGGGTGATGGGAAGGGCCGGCCGGCTGGGGGTGTAGGGGAAGTGCTTCCCTGTCAAGGTTGAGAAGTAGGATTTCCTCCTTTTTCCAGTGAAGAAACTCCTCCTAGTGAGGCCTCACCTTTTTGTCTCCGGGAAAGGAGGATGAGCTATGCCACAGTTTCGCAGGCCTTCGGATTTTGAAATCGCTGCTTCTGTGATCACGAAGTACTTGCGTGTCACGTGGGGCTTAAGGGTCAGGGAGTTTGGGGCTGCCCGGCATCAGGCTGGCCGAATGAGGTCTTTCTGGACTACGCAGGTCTCATAGGGAGAGCGTAGGTGGGGCTTTCTACCTGCCTTGAGCGGGGAGCAGCCTCTTTCTGGAAGGAGTTTCTGGGCTCTGCTGCAGGAGGCTGGGAGGCCGGTCCTGATGTTTACCCGATCTTGCCTTATTTGGACGATTGTTAAACCTGCAGGGTAAAGAAATTACTATAGATTGACTGAAAGATTTGGTGGGTGGGGAGGATTCTGACTAATTTGCATAAGCCATAAATCCAGTTGTAAATTTTAGGATCTAATAATTCAATGGCTAGGCACCCAGCTGCACCTCTCTGTGGCTCCGTTTCCTTAGCTGTACAATGGAGAAATGACAGTGAGGATTTGTTAAGATAATTCATATATAAAACTCTTCAAACACTGCCAGCGCAGAGTCAGAACTTAGCAAACATTACTCACTGGCATTTTTAGAGAAAATTTGAAAATTGAATTCCTGACATTTATTTTTATATGCAAAAAAGCTAACATCTGGTTGCATATTCTTGATTGTATTACCATTCCAGATCTCTAACATTTAAAATATTTTGAGGTATTATTATAAAAAGACACACCCCACTGTAGTAAATGTGGCAACTGACAAGTATAAAGAAGAAAATCATAGTCATCGGTCCTTCTAAAGTCCCCACTTTTTCCCACAAGAAAAACTGTTAATTTGGGGTGTTTACAATCTTTTTATCTTTGCAACTAACAAACAATATAATTGTAGGGTCTTGTGTGTTAATTTGCCTGTTCATTGTTTCTTTTTTCGGTAAGTGATGGATTTGGGCCTGAGATGCGGTTAAGGTTGCAACCTTCCATTATGCTGTTGTTTCAGAGGGAAACGTTGGCATGCTATGTGTCTTCTGGAAGATCTGTTGATTATTCAGCTATTCACCTCATGGAGTTGGCCTTTGTGTTTTCTCAGGCACTGCTACCCTCCCCCATCTCCCCATCCCCCAGCAACATCACACGACACACCTGGGAGGAGGGTGGGTGGGTGCGAGGAGAACTTTCTATTAATGATATGTGATTTCTTTGTTAGATCTTCACTGATGGCATTATATAGCTATCATAATAAATAACAATACATTAATAAAGTACCATTTTTGATCCCCAGGGCAGCTCTTCGAGTTTGGAAGGGTTTATTCCCCTCAGTTTACAGAATAGGAAACTGAGGCTCAGGGCAGGTGAGTTGCCTGAGGTCACCAAAGCTAATAGGCCATGGGAACCCAGAATTTGACATTGGGCATTCTGGCTCTAGGGGAGTAATATTTCCACTAAATGATGATGACTTTAAGACCTGCTTTCCCTCCATTTAGATCAATTTTTAAAATACTTAAATATTAGATTTAAATAAATAAAAAGTTGGGGTTATTATTATTGTTGAAGGTATTAAATCTCAAAAGCAACTAAGAGCACCATACAATATTTAGATTTAAGATGAAACACAGTTATTTGTATAATTTGCAAAAACACATTAAAATTGGATATACAAATGTACGATGGCCAAACCATATATAGAAATAGAACTCTGACCCACAAGTTGCAGCAACAAAGCCCAGGAAACCAACCCACTATCTACAGTAGCCATCGCAAGAAGCCAGCCTACTGTAGGCCAGACCGGCAGGAAGTCAGTCGCTAGCTCTACTAGCTGATCCAGTAACAAACAATAACCCCTTTAACAACTGGCTCCAAATGGCCAGGACTTGATTATAACTGAGAGGCACCCTAATTTTTGCCCCCCCTTCCCCCTTAGGACCAACCAGAGAAAGCTGAATTTTTACTGTAACCAAACACACGGGATGTCTCGGTTCTCGTGAGCCCTCTGGCAGCTTTCCCACACCCACAGCCTGCAGTCAGGGCACCAACCCGCTTCCTTTTTCCCACTATAAAGCTTTCCCACTCCTCTGCCTGCCTTTGAGTCTCTGCCGAAATGCAAGTGATGGTGGCTGAGTCCCTTGCTATAGCAAGCCGCGAAAAAATAGTCTTTGCTTGTTCTCATTGGGTGGTCTTTGTTTACTTCCACACACAAAATAGAGATTCTTTTAAGTAAAAGTGATAAAGGAAAAACATTTCCATGTCACCAGGGGATCTAAAGGCCCATATGGACTGGATTTCCTTGGCTTGGTTGAGCATCCACTGTGTGCAAAACATGAGGTGCTGAGGGGGAAACGAAGATGAGGGCGGCATGGCTCCTGATACCCAGAAATCAGACAAGCACCCAGATGACTGTCACATGAGACAGAACTTGTCTTGTGTATTTGATGAAGATGGCTAAAGGTACGATGGGAATTAAGAGAGAGACAGTGAGCACAGCTAACTTGAATGGTCAATGGAAACTGCAGGAGGGAGGTGTCCAACATTTAGAGCAAAAAGTTAAAAATACAGAGAAATATGGTTATTATATACTAATAAAAACTCACTACTTAAAATTAAATTTTGCATGTTGTCACACTCAGACCTTTAAAATATATAGGTAGATGGATGGATGACAGCCAGATAGATGATACAGAGCTGAGGTCCTCTCCTCTTTCTCTAAGCCCCATTCCCCTTTTCCTCCACGAGGGCACCCTTACCATGAATTTGGAGCTTTTTCTGGAAGTGGTCTCTTATCCAGTCTTTGATGAACGGCTATGACTTTTGATAGGCAAGGCTGGAGGAAGGAAGACTTTCCAGGGAGAGAGTCTGGCACAGGCAGAGGCATAGAAGTGGGGAAGTGAAGGATGTACTGGGGCAAGTGCCTGTGGTTTTCTTTTGTCTGAAGCATCTAAAGCAGTATAGGAAGGGGATGGTGGACCGTGAGGCTGAGAGGATGACTTAGGGCTTGAACATGGAGGGACTGAACGCCAGTGGATAAGGTTGATTTGCATTTGGGCTTCAGAGTAGAGGAGGAACGTGAGGTGGCGAAGAGTACCAAAGGCTGGAGATAGAGAGGCTGAATTAGAGACCACTGCTAGAACTTACAGGCTGGGATCAGGGCTGGTGACAGACGAGTTGGGAAGGAGATCATGAGGGGCCCTGGGCAGGCCGAGGGTCAGATGACCGGAGGGGAGCTAGGAGGAGGGGCCCATTAACCAGTAGGAGTGAGTGTCAATGTGCAGGTGTATGTGTGCGCGTGTGAGTGACTGTCTAGGCGTGTGTGAGGGAGCGAGCTCCATATGGGAACCCCAGGGGGCTGGACTCACACCTAGGGTGGAGGAGAGACGTCAAACCCTGACGGGCATCAGGGTAGATTGCATCTGCTAATAGGTCGGAGCTGACTCCTTGAGTCAGGAGGAGATGTTTACAAACACAAGAAAAGATCTCGAAGAACACATCTCTGTGGACCGCCAACACCGAAAGATCAGAAGAGAGCTCAGAAAGGTGAAGAGGGCCTGCCGAGGGATCCGAGGAACCAGTGGCCGGGGCTGGGAAGGGGCAGTGCCCAGCCCTAGGCAGGGGTGAAGGCCTCAAGAGAACTGGCCCGACGCGCTTCCTGCACCCCTCCTCGTTGCAGCATCACCCAGCAGCTGGTTAAAGGGGGCAAGCCACGTGGTGTCCAGGTTAGCGAGCAGGTGGGTACCCAGTACGCCTCAGGCCCCGCCCCCTCCCTCCTCTTGCGCGACGATTGGCCGAGGCTCCCCTTCTCGTTGCTGTGACAGCCCCCGAAGGCTGCCATTGGCTTCTCCCTATGCCTTCCCGCCCCAGGCCCCGCCTCTCTCCCGTCCCAAGCGGCGATTGGTGGATGCATCCCGTTGCTATGACAGCATGCGATGGTTAACAGTGACTCCTACCCCCACCTTTCGGCTTCTACGCCCCAGTTGGGAGGAAGGCGGGCCTGGCCGCGTCTCCGTGGCGACGACGGACGCGGTGCAGGCAGCTGGTACCTACCGACTAGAAAGGCTCAGGCGGCAGCCGGGATCCAGACTGGGGCGGGATCATGTCGGACCTGGGCTCGGAAGAGTTGGAGGAGGAGGGAGAGAAATATCTTGGGGTGAGATCTCCGGGTAAGGGGGGGAGCTCCCAGGGGTGCGCGGACCCTTGGAAGCCGGTTTCGGAGAGTGGGGTGGCCTGGAGGCCAGCCACAGTCCCACTGGGAGGCCCAGCCAAGAGCAAGGACCACGCAGGCCACAGCGGGCGCTGCGTCCTGCAAGATGGCTGTGAAAGGTGAAACGTTATGACGTCCGCCTGCCGAATCGCTTCTCGCTCCCCCCTCCACCAATTCCTCCTATCGTTAAAGGCAAAGATTTCCAAATCCAAGGCTTTGGAAGCGTCCTCTTCCCTGCTGTCACCCTTCATCGAGGCAGTTTCCTTGGATGGCTGGGTCATCCCAAGCTACCATACTATTCTTGAATGTATTTTTGTATATTATTCTGAAACTATTTCTGTAATGGAGCCTGGCTCCTCAGGATTAAAGGAAGATGGAGGAAAGCTGCTTCCTGGCAGCCTTCAAGAAATGCTAAGGAGGTCCCAGGCTCAGCGAAGGCTTCCTGAAGTATTACCATACAGGCCTGTAATCACATGTGCTTTCTTCACTCTTGTTGGAAATGACCCGGGTCGTTGGAAATATTTCCTGGTTTAGACAGCGGAGAGGAGGTAAGGGATGCACATTCAGTGATGTGAGCTGGGCTCCATGTGGGCATATTTGTGCTGCCTGAAGCCAGAGGGTGACTATTGCCTGGCTGGCAGGTTGGGAACCTCATCCACTGTGTGTGTGCAGGGTACAGAGTTGAAATAGTTTCAGAATTACCTGAAAAATCTAGCACCCCTGCTGAGATAGATGTGCTTGCTCAGACCTTTTTTTACTAGCTCTGCACACCCATCTTCCAGCTTCTGCCTGATTTGCTGCTGAAGACAAGCACGTCTGTGCACTGGAGCCACCTGGCCAGTAGGGAGCGGCGGAAGTGCCTGGGATGTACGCATCCCGGGACAGCCAGCAGCTAGTGCTAAAAGACAGGACAAACTGCCGTGATCGACACTCCAGAACGCCCTGTGCAATGAGGCTGAGTCTGGGACATCACCCGACATCACCCATGCTTGGCAGCCGCCTCTTTCACGTCTGTTTTCGCACCCCCTTTGCTGGTTTCTCCTGGGAGCACTTAAAAAAAAAAAATCTCTCTCCAAGGTCTGCTTCTGGGGAACCCAAGCTACATCACCTTCCCAGTAAGCTTTCTAGTTCATCCCCTCAAATGGCCCTACCGATCTGTAACTTTTTAGCGTCCATTATTTTCAGGTTCGATTCACAGTTGGGGTCATTTTCAAGGGTTCTCTTCCTATTCAGGCACCCCAGCGTCTCAGTACTGGGTGTATTGAGAGGTCTTTGGGGTGGCAGGAGGAGCCTTTTGTACACTTTGACTTAGACTAACCCTGAAACAAGTTTGTAAGGTTATAAAATTCTGCGTTATAATCTGAGCATGAATTTCTGAGCCAAACAGTGCTAGAAAAGCACAAGAACTGCAAAAATGTTTGTTTCTGAAGCCCTTGACTTAATGTGTCTGAGCTTGTGTGTAATGTCTATCCAGATCCAGCGCCATGTCAGATCATTGCTCTATGCCCTCGCCGTTTCATTATTCATTATTTGCACCCTACACTCATGTATTAGGTGCTTGAGAAATGTTTATTTGATGAAGGATCGAGAAAATAGGGAAGCAACAAGCTTGTATTATGTTTTTTATTGATTTACTTTTAAGATAGATTAATTATCGATCTTAGCTATGAGGGTTTGAACCTTAAGTCTCTTGATAAGGAGTTTAAAAATAAGATAAACTAAATTGAGTTGGGAGACCCAAGTTGACAACTGAGCCCAGTTTATTCCTCAGCTCCCCCTGCCCCTCTCCCACCATCAGAGCTTCCTTGAAGGTCAAAGCTGTCTTCAGGCCACAGACACCCCAGGGATGATTTGCATTTTAAGTTCTGTATTATTGGAGGAAGGTGGGTTTAGGACACGTTCCACCCGCAAATGCTACTTCAGACGTGTTCCTATAAAGAACACAACTTGGCGCACCTCGCATTTTCCTCAAAATGGTCAGTTTTGTTTACAGCTTAAAGGATTATCATAATACATTGGAGGGAGAGAGTGAAAGTCCCACAATGGACAGGTGCCAGCTGTGTGACCCTGGACGGATGCTCCATGTCACCCAGGTGTGGTACCTACCTCACCTGTAAGACAAGGCCAAGGATTGGGAGGATGCAATGGAATACTATTTATAAAATGCCTAACACATAGTTAGTGCTTTTATTTATTTTATTCATGTTTTAAAAAATTTATTTTGGCTGCGCTGGGTCTTCGTTTCAGCACGTGGAATCTTCCTTGCAGCATGCAGGATCTAGTCCCCCAACCAGGGTTCAAACCCGGGTCCCCTGCTTTGGGAGCCCAGAGTCTTACCCACTGGACCACCAGGGAGATCCCTGGTTAGTGCTTAATAAATGGTAACTGTGATCATCTTGTTTTCTTCGGTCCAGGAATACGAAGGGGAGCGGAACGAGGCCGGTGAGCGGCATGGTCATGGGAAAGCGAGACTGCCCAATGGGGACACGTATGAAGGGAAATACGAACATGGTAAAAGGCACGGCCAGGTCAGAATCAGTGGCTTGAGTGGGTGGTTTACCCAATTTAATACTCTGTTAGCAATGATTAAATTCAGGATTGATATGAATTATATAATCAATGTGTTTCAGGGGACCTACAAATTTAAAAGTGGTGCACGGTACATTGGAGAATATGTTAAAAATAAAAAACACGGTCGAGGCACTTTTATCTATCCAGACGGATCAAGATATGAAGGTAAAGTATTACCACAAAGCAGACTTCCGTGTTGTGGAGGACTTGGGGATGGAACTTCTCTGGGGATGCTGAGACACACATGAAAGCTTCAAGTTCCCCAGTCATTCAACAAATACGATCTATGTTCCTGTGTTCACAGGGTTGATGCAGAAACCAGAGAGCCTTGTAATTAGTGAACTGATCCACAGGGGGACATGTGACTGTCCCTGTGGCCCGCACATTCCCTCCTGGGGGCCCATGCGCTGAGAGAGGTTGCTGGGCGAGCATGGACCTCGGGGGGTGGGTTGGACCCTGGTCAACTGGTGCTCAGTGGTAGAGTCTCCTTGGAACTGTTCTTGCTGTCTTCCATTTCTGACCAGCCCCTCTTCTGATGAACACCCGGTTGGTTTAGATGGTGGTTCCTTCACTGAAGGCTTCTGATCTGGGAGGCGTTCTGCCTCGTTAAAGTGGCGTTCTTACCTCTGCCGCAGTGCGTTACGTGCCAATGTTATGTGGCTCAGGAAGACTCTTGTCCCCTTATTTCCAAGAACCGCACTGCCGCCCCACCCACCATTGTCACCTGGTGTGACGACAGTGTGACGTCTCACCCCAAAGACCGGTGAAGGCCGTTCCTAACCCAGGGAGAGAGACGAGCAGGGGTGGGTTGTGAGCCTCGCCAACGGTGTGCAAAGGTTATGTTCGGGGCTGCTTTTCTGGGAAGTTAATCTAGTTTTCATCAGATTTCCAAAAAGGTCTGTGAGCCCAACCCTGGAACTGGTGTGACAGTAGGTGTGACCTGGTTCAGGGGACCCCATCCCTCCCTGCCTCAGCCTTCTCCCCTGCAGTGCGAGGATCAGATGAGTGAACACACGTGAGATGCTCAGAACCAGACCTGACGGATCGTATGTGTTCAGTAAATGTCGGTGGGCCACAGTGTAGCTTGTGTGATAGCAGCGCTTCTTACAACGGATTCCACCCTTTGAGGGTGTGGGCTGGAGCTGCGGGTCTGGTGGCCACATAAAACCAGAACCGAGGCATCATCAAACAGGGCTTCTGCTGGAATCCGACACCTGGGTGGACAGTGTCACTGCTGTTCCTACTAGAGATGGAATTTCTCTTTGGTTTTGTTTCATAAATCTTAGAAGCCTGGCTCCAGACCCATCTGCTTTTTAAATCGACTTGACACAATCTAATTTAGGATTTAATTCTTTCCAGATTCTGATGAACCTAATCTCATTATTGTCATTTTGATTTCAGCGTAGATGTTAATCTAATTTGAACAACATACATATTTATATATATTATATATGTGATGTATGAGAAGATATATGCATATGTGGAGATACATATATATGCACTCAGAGTAGGGGGTTGAAGGAATTTTTACTGTGAAGGTTATTAGCTAACATATAAAACGCCTTTGGAGGCAGTTGTAAGTTGTCGTGTCTCCTTATGGTTTTGTACCTTAATGGGTGCAGGGCGCAGTCACTGCCCAGGGATTTCCTCTCTGAGTTCGGAGGCTAAGTACTCATTTTAGCTCAGTAAGTCCACAGTCTTCCAGCCCAAAGCCCAAGTTAACATGGGACTTCTTCGCCGCTGCTTTGGCCGAAAGGGGCGCAGACCGGCTCGCGGCCACTTGGCGAGGATGCTCAACACAGGTGTGCGGGGGGGGGCGGCCCCAGGCGCCGGAGCAGGTGCGAGGTGGGAAACAGACTGAAATGCCGGCAAGTGGCTGAGAATAGACCACCGAGGCTCCAAGTTGTTGCTGGGTCACTGAACGCACGCGAGGCAGCAGGGGTGTGGAGCTGGGGCCACTGTCCATAGGGCAGCAAACCCTGGCTTGAAGCCTTGCTGTGCCGCCGGCCAAGTGGGAAAAAGCCGCTGTTAGCACATGCAGGCGACAGTGGCCCAGTACATACACCTGCCAGCCCGTCCCCCCAGAGGCCCGGCTCAGCCTCCCTCCGCCGGCTCCCCACTCCAGGTGTCCATCGGTCCGGCCGAGAGGCAGGGATGGAGGGGGGTCAGAGTGGGCAGGGGCAGCGGTGAAGGGCGGAGCTGTTTCCTCCTGACCCCTGCTTTTGTGTGGCCCTTCCAGGGGAGTGGGCGGACGACCTGAGGCATGGCCACGGCGTGTACTGCTACATCAACAATGACAGCTACACCGGGGAGTGGTTTGCTCACCAAAGGTTCGGTTCTCCCCCTGGGCCCGCAGATCAGTTCACGTCATGAGCACATGACGGTGACTAAGCAACAGAATCATGACCGGAGAGCCCACTGGCCAGCTCTGCCCCATGGTTCATGGCTTTCAGGCCAGCGTGGGAGCAATGTACTGCTGCACGGCTGCAGGTTCCCGGGAACCCACCCAAGGGCCCCAGGCCACGGAGGGCACAGGAGAACCTTCTGGGCGCTGAGTTGCAGCTCCCAGGAGCCCTGCCTTTTCCCCGAGCCAGCCAGCTGATAGGCGGGAGGCCGCCGCTGTCCAGCAGGGATGCCTGCTCTCAGCTGGGGCCATGAGCAGGAGGTGTGCTTCGATTGGGCCCAGATATGGAAGCCACTTGTGAGCCCACCTCAGCCTAGGCCCCCCCTTGATTCAAATGTGTGTCTCAGGGCTTCCCTGGTGGCGCAGTGGTTGAGAGTCCGCCTGCCGATGCAGGGGACATGGGTTCGTGCCCCCGTCCGGGAGGATCCCACATGCCATGGAGCCGCTGGGCCCGTGAGCCATGGCCGCTGAGCCTGCGCGTCCGGAGCCTGTGCTCCGCAACGGGAGAGGCCACAGCAGTGAGAGGCTCGCGTACCGCATAAAAAAAAAACCAAACCAAATGTGTGTCTCATAAACCTGGAGGGGTTTTCACTGCAACGGAACCGAGTGCATCGCGGTCCTCATCTTCACCAGGCACGGGCAAGGCACCTACTTCTACGCGGAGACGGGCAGCAAGTACGTGGGTACCTGGGTGAACGGCCAGCAGAAGGGCACGGCCGAGCTCATCCACCTGAACCACAGGTACCAGGGCAAGTTCTTGAACAAAAATGTAAGTCAACGGGCAGCGATGTTTGCCAATGAAATAAGCAACACCCTCCTCCCCGAGCCTGTGTAAATGTGTGAGCAGAAAATAGGACAAACCCAGGCAAACCCTCCCACCCCCTCCAGATAGGGAAACAGGGCAGCTGTGCTGAGCTCCGAGCCTCACTGATACCCACAGAGGGCAGGGCGGGGGCAGGGGAAGCTCAGCCAGTTTCTCTGCATCTCAGTAACATCCATGCTCTCTCCCAGCAGTGGGAATCATTATAGCACTGGGGGCATCTTGACCTTGGTCTTATGAGTAAATCGGATATGAAATACATATTTGTCTGGAACGACTGAGCATTTCCTGCAGTTGAGCCTGTGGGGGTTTTGACTTTCTTTCCCCCGGGAGGCCCGCAGCCGGAGCCGCAGGGAGGAAGACCCACCAGGTCCTCCCTGGAGCCCCATGCCCACCCACCTGCTCCAGGTGGTGGTGGAACTGGAGGCCTTGGGTCTGAAGGTTTCCGGTTCGCAGTACCCGTGATGGGTCATTTCTGTTTGGAGGACTCTGTGGCCTTACCTGTCCTTGTTGCCCGAGCCCTGATGGGATGCAGAGAAACCCTGAATAATTTGGAACCTACCTACCACCCCGCATTTGCCATGTAGCCTTGATCAGGGGTTGAGCAGAAACTTTCCCCGAAGAAAGAGTTTGCTGAGCAAATGAAAGGTGTTAAGAGTTTGACAGAGGAACATCTAACTGATTTAATAAAGTAGCCTCAGACCCTTAAAACTCAGTTTTCATTTCCATATAATTCACGCCCTAATCGCAGACTCTGCTTTTAGTCTTTGTAAGTGTAGGCACGTTCTCCTCAAATCTGTACATGGAATACGTCACTCCCAGCAAAATCTCATGAGATCTTTCTCGGCACACGGAGGTGGGTGGAAGAAAGAGAATTTGATACGAGTTAACTGGGAGGAACCAATGAATGCTGCGAACCTAGACTCATCCGAGGAGTAAGAGCAGAGTGGGGCTTTGTTCTGCTAGTTAGAAAAAGACTTTAAAGTTGTGCCAGAGCGTAGTTCCAACCGTGAAACGCCCAGACTCTGGATCCCGCCTGCCCACCTCAAGCATCGCAAAGGCACAGACTCACACGTACAGCTTATACAGAGTTACAGCATGGGGATTTTAATTACATAAATAGAACCACACTATATCAGGACACAAAAATGTACCCCCGAAAAAGCTATCTTTTTGTGTATTCAGAAGTTTTTATGTAGGTTAGTTACTGGAATTGCAAATCTACAAGTACTGATACCTTAAATGATGATGGATACTCTAATTGTCCTGAAAAGCTAAGCCAGTTTATACTCTGGTCAGCAGGATATGGGAGTCTCTCCATCACTTCTTCCATCAACCTTGGATAGTATTAGTCTTTAACATTTTCTTTTCAAATCTGGTGGGTAAAAAATGTTATCTCATAGTTTTAATGCGGAATTCCCCGATTCCTGGTGAGGCCCAGCACCTTTACACACTTTTATTGCTGGTTTGACTTTCTTCCTTCAGACAATTACCTGTTCACATCCTTGCTGACAAGTTATGAAAGCGCACTATAAATCTTCAATAATGAAAACAGTGTGATACTAGGATAGAGAAATATAGATCAGTGAAGCAGGTTAGAGAGTCCACAGACAGATCGAAGTATATAAAATAATTTAGCACTTGAAAGGATGTCATTTCCAGTTAAAAGGAATGGTGGGGAGAAGTCAAGAAATGGTGCTGGGAGGGCTTCCCTGGTGGCGCAGTGGTTGACAGTCCGCCTGCCGATGCAGGGGACGCGGGTTCGTGCCCCGGTCCGGGAAGATCCCACATGCCGCGGAGCGGCTGGGCCCGTGAGCCGTGGCCGCTGAGCCTGCGCGTCCGGAGCCTGTGCTCCGCAACGGGAGAGGCCACAACAGTGAGAGGCCTGCGTACCACAAAAAAAAGGAAAAAAAAGAAATAGTGCTAGGACAGCTTGATGACCATTTGGGAGAAAAAATAAAACCAAAGTTTGTCCTCCAGCATGTAGATGAAGATACTTACTAGAAGAAATAAAGATTTAAATGCAAACAAGAAAGTCACAGATAGAAGAATAAGTATTTATGACCTTTGGAATGAGGAAGAGGACTTTCTATACAAAAATAGAAAGGAAAACCCAAAAGATTTCACTTGATAAAAATAAGCCAATATAGATTAGAGAGCACCATAAAGAAAATGTAAAGGATATCTGACAAAAGGGGTTGAGATATTTGTAACATTTAATTTGTAAAGCACTTAATCAACGTGATTTAAATTTCAAAAATGTTGAAAAGAAATTCAGCCTTGCTAATAACTTAAAAGGTGTGACTTCAAATGATGAGGTCCTGTTTTTTACATATATATAAAAAAGTATAACAAATGTTAAGCCCAGAAAAAATATGGGTTTGTGGACGAGAGGCTCTTAAGTGCTGTTGTGGGAAAGAAAATTATTAGAGCCTTATTCTGGTTTAAATATATATATATAAAACACACACTTTTATCCAGAAATTCAACTTCTGTAAATTTACCCCGAGGAAAATGCCAAGGGTGGACCTAAAGATTTAACTCAGAATATGTTTACCATAGCATTTTTTGCCAAAGTATCAGTATGCCAAATATCAACAATAGTAGGTGAGTAAAACAGATTATAATTCTTTGATGAAATAACATACTAGGTTGACAACTGATGTTATGGAAGAATATCTGTGATATGGGAGGTCATTCATGCCCTATTTCTAAGTAAAGATAGAACAAGAGTCAGCACGTGTAGTTACGGTCAGATTTTTATTTTAAAAAAAAAATCTCTGTATTAGAAATAAGGTTACAGAGACTACATCAAAATATTAGTAGTTCTAACACAATATTGTAAATCAACTATATAGTTAGATAAAATTTTTAAAAATATCAATAGTACTATTTTTAGCTAGTTTGACTGTGTGGGTCAACTAAGTGAAATTTTTGTCATAAATACATTACTTTTATAAAGAGATAAAATGTAGTTAAAGTTTTTTTTTAAAACAAACAAAAGGGGGCCTATACTTTGCATTCCATTAGCCATTAGTTCACAAAAGCATCTTTAATCCATACTGAATTTTCCCCAGTTCCATGATTTGGGGTAGGTTTTATGAAAGTCACATTTATAAAGCATTTTGTACTTTCTACTGGGTGTTGATGCTCAAGAGTGAAGTATTTCTTGGTTTCTCTTTGCTCGTAGCCCGTTGGCCCTGGAAAATACGTGTTTGATATTGGCTGTGAACAGCACGGGGAATATCGCTTAACAGATGTGGTAGGTTGCAGAGTCTATATCACTCCTACGTTCATAGGCAAACGAGCTGCTCGGTGATACTGATCCTACAGATCTGCGTCGGGACCAATTGCCCTAAGGGAGTATAGGAAAGGGGATTGGGCAGAAGGGGAAGCTGGGTTCTGACGGGACCCCATGGGAGCTCTGAAATGGGATGACCCTTCAAAGTGTCCTGAATGGAGGCCAGGACCTGTGACCCACATGTGGACCAGTCACCGGCTGTGGGCTGCCCGTGGACAGGGGCATGAAACCTGGACAATGCGGCCTCCTTTGATGGAGGGCAGTTCCTGGCAGGAACTCTGTTATGAGCAACCAGCTGCCAACACGCCCAGCAGCTGGAGGAGTGAGCACCTGAAGGGGGGGGAGATCACATGATCACACAGGAGCCAATGAGAGAGCAGACACCCTTGGGGGCGGTTCTCAAAGCGCAGTCCCTGCGTGCAGCTCTGGCCCTACCTGGGAGTCTGTTTGAAATGAAGAGTTTTGGGCCCCACCCCATTCTTCCTGAATCAGAAACTCAGGCTGGGGCCAGCGATCTGGACTCCAACAGCCCCTCCACGGGATTCTGGTGCAGTTCAAGTTTGAGCACCACTGTCCTGGAGAAACTCAGGCATTTGGACATGGAGGAGAGCAGTGTACTTCTGAGTGACTCAACGGAAGTAACAGGCAGGGGTCTGTCACTCTTTGTCACAGGTATTGTCATCTCTTTTCCATATTTATAGATTGATGTTCAACCTTTGGAGTTTTGTGATAGTTACAAAACTGAGAAGTAGACCAATATGCTTGGTAAGATTGCCACGTGTTGGCTGTTAACCTTTGTTGGAATTATTCATTATTATAAATTCTTCCACATTTGGCACTGATGAACTTTGTCTACTTTCACTGCATTTTACTTTTCTCTCCATAATCCTTGAGACTAGAGCTTCAGGGCTTATGCCCTTCCATGTCATTCCATGGATGTCTTTGGGTGTCTTTAGGCTTTTTCTCACAGTGATGTTGATACCGAAACTCGGCCTCTGTACACCTGTGCTGAGTCAAATCTGAGAGACAGACTTTTGGGTGAAGCAGAAAAGAACGGCTTTATTGCTTTGCCAGGCAAAGGGGGACACAGTGGGCTAATGCCCTCAAAACTGTGTGTCCCAACCTGGTGGAATTTGGTGAGGAATTTCATAGCAATGGTTCAAGGGTGGGGTTGCTGACAAGGATCAGGGTGTGTGCAGGGCCTGCGCTCCTTTAATCTGGCCTCAGGTGGTCTCTTGATGAGCTTCTCAAGGTTATCAAACTGTGACCTTCTCTCTGGAATGAACAATGTTTCTTCAAGGAGTGATGAAACATTCCAGTTTCATCAAATGCACATCTTCAAACGAACATCTTCCATTTCTTGGGGGTTTTAGTTCTGCAGAAGAGCTCAAAGACATTGTTTTGTGTATCCCTTGAGGCAGAACGAGGACCCTGCCCCAAGGCTGCACCACTGTTTCTTGGTTCCTCCCCTCTTATCTCTACATCCCCTCCCTTTCCTGATTAGTAATGGCTTGAACCTGCCCTTTGGAACTCAGGGAAGGTCATGGAGGCTGGGGCCTATTCCCTAAAACAAGAAACGGGGGACACAAAGGCTTTGGTGTCCAGGAGCCCCACGAGGTCCTGCTCAGTTTCAGTGTTTGTTTTGTTACGTTTAAAGAATCTTAGAGCTGAAATGTGGCTGAGCGGCTGCAAAGGGCACTTAGTCCTGGTCATTTCTTAACTGGGAAGCGTTTGAAAGCCTTTTGTGCCCTCAGCGGAATGAGTACAGGAACTGTGTTGCCCTCACCTTCGTGTCTCATCCTCGTTCTTTCAAGATTCATTTTCAGCCCTTGGATTATACTGTGGAGAGTTGGCAATTACTCTGATCACTGAATCCTGTTATAAAAATGCCCCAATGCAATTCAAAACCTGTCCCGTCTCCCCTCACTTTAAATGTCCCATGCATGTTGGTCAAGTTACATTTTTTAACTTAGGAAAGAGGAGAAGAGGATGAGGAGGAGACACTGGTAACTGTCGTTCCAAAATGGAAAGTGACCAAAATCACAGAATTGGCCTTGTGGACCCCGCCCCGCCCCCAGGAGCAGCCAGCTGCGGATGGACCAAGCCAGGGCGAGGCCCCAGGAGCTGAGGGTATATGGAGGCCCTGGGGGGCAGATGGAGTAGGGCTCCCCGGGAAGCAGGCTCTGAGTCCCTCCCCTTGGTCAGTGATTGGCCGTGGGTGTGACCTGGGCAAGGCTCCGACAGCAGCTGGGATGACAGGTCCTTCCTAAAGGGGATCTGGACAGCGTTTCTCTGTGACCCTCACAGGGGGCTTCCTAAGAAGTCCTCAGGGGGCTGTGGAGTATCGAAGGTAGGTTACACTGGGCAGGAGCCCTTCTGTTGCAAGTGATTGAAGACCAGTTCCAATTGGCCTAAGTGGAAAAAATACTGATACTAATTCATTGGTTCATACAACTGGAGCGGTGGCGGGGAGAGAGCCTCAGGTGTGACTGGATCAGGGCTCCGCGCTCGGATCTCCTCTCTCCTGTGCACTGGCTCTGCTTGCCAGCATCCTCTTCCCTTTGGCGACCAAAGCCCAGTGACTTTATCAGATTGCCACCCAATCCGCTCAAGAACCCTAGGGAACAGAGAGCTTCTCTCTCCAAATGCTCATCAAAACCCTTGGGATATATATTGTATACTTAAAATAAAAAGCCCTTGGGAATTAGCGCTTCAGAGCAGTGATGCCCATCCCTGAACCTATCACTGTGATGGGGATGAGGGAGCAGATGCCAGGCCTGGGTGGAGCTGTGACTCTGAGTTAGGGGGTGGTCCCCTGATGGAGAAGCGGGCACTGCTGTCAGCAGGGTGGGTGTGGAAAGGCGTCTGCTGATACCGGTTCCCTTTGTTCCATCTCAGGCGGGGGAGAGCCGGCGGAGGAGGTCCAGCCTCTGACCGATGACATGTCAGAGGGGGAATTAGATTCAGTGCATCCTGGAGAGGAGGAGGGAGATGCCAGCAGGGAGGACGGAGAGGAATTCCCCTACGACAGCTTAGACCAGGGTGAGCCTGAGCTCTGGGGGCCAGGAGGGCGGGAGGGAAGGAGGCACCAGGCACGCCGGGGTGGGCTCAGGGTTTTCTCTGCCTTTGACCGAGGCCGTCCTTGGGCCAGGCCTGAGGGATGGGACATTTCAGAGGACCTGCCCTGGGAATGTCGCTCCTTCTTAGGCGTCCTGGTAGGGACAGCCGTGCGATGCATGTTCTCTCTAACTCGGTCCTTGCTAGTCTGCATTTCACCAATACGGCATGCCTCGGGCTGCAAGTCCCAGTCGATTGATCCCATGGCTTCATTTAACTACATGTTTTTCACCTTTATAACGCTTTATAATGATGCGTGTATGATAATATACAGCAAACACCTTCAAAATTTAAACCCTTTTACCATTTAATTTTTCAGCATTAATACCCACAAATGCTCCTACGGGGGTGTGGGAGGAGGGTGGGAAGCGTGGAGTACAGCTTCCACAGAGATCAGAGTTTCAACAGTGTTACTTATAAATTATAGTCCAGCAATTTTATTCACTGACGAGTGCGCGCAGGCAAAAGATAATGCTGGACCTTACTCTCACTTACACGGATGTTCTTTGTCTTAGCATTTACTCCGAATAAACCTTTTGCTTAGTTTATTACTGGTACCAAAAGAAAAACTATAAAAGCCTGTATAAGATAAAATTTAACGTTCTATGATATTGCCTGATAAATAGAAATGTTTAATATTTATAATACCTATTGCAAAAGATCTGCTAGCAAATCATGCATTTTTAAATAGAAAAAAGGTAATACACTCACATTTCCCTTTTCTTCCCAGGAAACGTTAGTTTTGAAGAAGAGGAAGCCAGACAGCCAGAGCTGCTGGATTAAGATGAAGCAAAAGCCCGAGTGGTAGGAGGTTGAGTCTTAAAGATGCGTCTGTTACCAGGGTAGTTATTACTCATCTATCACTAATCTTTCTTACTTAATTGTTTGTTAAGATGTTTTACAATTGCAAATAAATTTCTTCATTATCCTTTGTTTATGAAATAGCCTCTGCTCCCAGTTCTTTAAAAGTTACCTGGTTGGGGCTTCCCTGGTGGCACAGTGGTAAAGAATCCGCCTGCCAATGCAGGGGACACGGGTTTGAACCCTGGTCCAGGAAGATCCCACATGCTGCCGAGTGACTAAGCCTGTGCGCCACAACTACTGAGCCCGTGCACCACAACTAATGAAGCCCGCGCGCCTAGAGCCCGTGCTCCGCAACAGGAGAAGCCACCAGCCCCTGCTAGCCGCAACTAGGGAAAGGCCGTGTGCAGCAATGAAGACCCAACGCAGCCAAAAAAAAAAGTTACCAGGTTATTTTGCCATGATTTTTTTAGTGCTGTTTTCTCCTAGGAGAAAGAAAAACATCATATGACTGTAACTCTGCTGAAGATGGTTAATGGAAATGGATTCTGGCTAAGTTAGCTGGGTGACTAGATAGTGAAGTCCCTCTCTCAAATTACCCTCAAGCGAGCCAGGAAAACACCTAGAAAATAAGAATTCCTGTGTGCAATGCTCATAAAACACAACGTAACAAATACATGTCAGGCTTGGGTAAGAAACCCTCAGGTGCCGCCGGAGGGGGCACTCCCATCCGTTCTGCACCTTCGGCATCTCAGGGTGGGCTTTGGGGCTCCCTGCCGGGAGGTCCCTGCAAAAGGCTGAGGGGCAGGGCTGACCGCAGAGATGGCTTTGGCCTGTGTGTACGCTCTTCAGGCCTCCTGGTGGGCTGGGGGCTGACACCTACGTCACCTCCAAGTTCCTTGAGTACGGGCCCACCTTGTTTTATTGTGTTTTGCTTTAGATACTGTGTTTTTTTACAGATTGAAGGTTTGGGGCAACCCTGTGTCAAACAAGTCTATTGGCACCATCTTTCCGAGAGCATTTGCTCACCTCACGTCTCTGGGTCACGTTTTGGTAATTCTCACAATATTTCCAACTTTTTCATTATTTTTATATTTGTTGTGGTGGTCTGTGATCTTTTTTTTTTTAAATGAAGTAGAGTTGATTTACAATATCATGTCAGTTTCAGGGGTACAGCAAAGTGATTCAGAGAGATATATATATATATATATATATATATATATATATTACAAAATATTGAGTATGGTTCCCTGTGCTGTACAGTAGGTCCTTGTTGGTTACCTGTTTTATATATAGCAGTGTGTATCTGCTAAGCCCAAACTCCTAATTTATCCCTCCCCCGACCTTTCCCCTTTGGCAACCATAAGTTTGTTTTGTATGTCCGTGAGGAGTCTGTTTCTGTTTTGTAAATAAATTCATTTGTATCTTATTTTTTTGGATTCCACATATAAGTGATATCCTATGATATCTGTCGTTCTCTGTCTGACTTACTTCACTTAGTATGATAAGCTCTAGGTCCATCCATTGCTACCAATGGCATGATTTCATTCTTTTTTTATGGCTGAGTGATAATTCCAGTGATCAGTGATCTTTGACATGACTATTGCCATTGTTTTGAGACACCATGAGCTGCACCCATATAAGATGGCCAACTAAATGGATCAATGTTGTGTGTGTTCTGACTGCTCCACTGACCGGCTGTTGTCCCATCTCTCCCTCTCTTTGGGCCTCCCTGTTCCCTGAGACACAACAATATTGAAATTAGGCCATTTAATAACCCTACGGTGGCCTCTATGTGTTCAAGAGAAATAAGAGTCACATGTCTCTCGCTTTAAATCAAAAGCTAGAAATGATGACGCTTAGTGAGGAAGCCATGTTGAAAGCCGAGACAGACCAAAAGCTAGATCTCTTGCACCAAACAGCCAAGTTGTGGATGCAAAGGAAAAGTTCTTGGAGGAGATTAAAAGTGCTGCCCCAGTGAACACACGAATGATGAGAAAGCGAGACAGCTTTATTGCCGGTATGGAGAAAGTTTTACTTGTCTGGATAGAAGATCAAACCAGCCACAATATTCCCTTAAGCCAGAGCCTAACCTAGAGCCAGGCCCTAACTCTCTTCAATTCTGTGAAGGCTAAAAGAGGTGAGGAAGCTGCAGAGGAAAAGTTTGAAGCCAGCAGAGGTTGGTTCGTGAGGTTTAAGGAAGAAGCCGTCTCCTGACATAGAAGTAGGAGATAAAGCAGCAAGTGCTGATGTGGAAGCTGCAGCAAGTTATCCAGAAGGTCTAGCTAAATAATTAGTGAAGGTGGCTACATCTGTTATCCAGCGTAGCCAAAACAGCCTGCATTGGAAGAAGATGCCATCTAGGAGTTTCATAGCTAGAGAGGAGAAGTCAGTGACTGGCTTCAAAGCTTCAGAGGACAGGCTGACTCTCTCGTTAGGGGCTAATGCAGTTAGTGACTTGCAGTTGAAGCCATTGCTCATTTAACATTCTGAAAATCCTAAGACCCTTAAGAATTATGCTAAGTCTACTCTGCCTGTGCTCTGTAAATGCAACGACAAAACCTGGATGACAGCACATCTGTTTACAACACGGGTTACCGAATATTTTAAGCCCACTGTTGAGACCTACTGCTCAGAGAAAAAGATTCCTTTCAAAATATTACTGCTCATTGACAAGGCACCTGGTCACCCGAGAGCTCTGATGGAGATGTACAGTGAGATTAGTGTTGTTTTCATGACTACTAACACAACATCCACTCTGCAGTCCATGGATTAAGGAGTAATTTCAGCTTTCAAGTCTTACTATTTAAGAAATACATTTCGGAAGGCTGTAGTTGCCATAGATGGTAGTTCCTCTGATGGATCTGGGCAAAGTAAATCGAAAACCTTCTGGAAAGGGTTCACCATTCTAGATGCCATTCGTAACATTCGTGATTCATGGGAAGAGGTCAAAGCATCAACATTAACAGGAGTTTGGAAGAAGTTGATTCCAGCCCTCATGGATGACTTTGAGGGGTTCGAGACCTCATGGAGGAAGCAACTGCAGTTGTGGTGGAAACAGCAAGAGAAGTAGAATTAGAAGTGGAGCCTGAAGATCGACTGAATTGCTGCAATTTCATGATAGAACTTAATCGACTGAGGAGTTGCTTCTTATGGATGAGCAAAGAAAGTGGTTCCTTGAGATGGAATCTTACTCCTGGTGAAGATGCTGTGCAGACTGTTGAAACGACAACAAAGGATTTAGAATGTTACATAAACTTAGTTGATAAGGCAGCTGCAGGATTTGAGGGGATTGACTCCAACTTTGAAAGAAGTTCTACTGCGGGCAAAATGCTATCACACAGCACTGCTGCTACAGAGAAATCATTCGTGAAAGGAAGAGTCAATTGACGTGGCAAACTTCATTGGGGTCTTATTTTAAAAACTGCCACAGCTGCTCCAAACTTCAGCAGCCACCACCCCGACCAGCCAGCAGCCATCAACACCCAAGAAAGACCCTCCACCAGCAACAAGATTTTGACTTGTGGAAGGCTCAGATGACGGTTAGCAATTTTTAGCAATAAAATATTTTAAAATGAAGGTATGTACACTGATTTTTATTTTTGAAAAATTTTATTGGAGTAGAGTTGATTTACAATGTTGTGTTCGTTTCTGCTGTACAGCAAAGTGAGTCAGTTATACACATACATGTATCCACTCTTTTTTATATTCTTTTCCCATATAGCTCATTACAGAGTATGGAGTAGAGTTCCCTGTGCTCTACATGGTTGACCCTGGTTCCCTGTGCTATAATCGGCAACCTTATTAGTTATCTGTTTTATATGTAGTGGTGTGTATATGTCAATCCCAACCTCCCAATTTATCCCTCCCTGCCCCTCTCCCCCACCTTCCCCCCAGTAACCATACGTTTGTTTTTCACCTCTGTGACTCTATTTCTGTTCTGTAAATAAGTTCATTTGTACCAGTTTTTTTCGATTCCAGATATAAGCATATCATATTTGTCTTTCTCTGTCTGGCTTACTTCACTCAGTATGACAATCTCTAGGTCCATCCATGTTGCTGCAAACGGCATTATTCGTTCTTTTTTTATGGTTGAGTAATATTCCGTTGTATATATGTACCACATCTTCTTTATCCATTCCTCTGTTGATGGACATTTAGGTTGCTTCCATGTCCAGGGTATCGTAAATAGTGCTGCAGTGGACACTGGGGTGCATGTATCTTCTCAAATTATGGTTTTCTCCGGATATACGCCCAGGTGTGGGATTGCTAATTTTAGTTTTCTAAGGAAACTCCGTACTGTTCTCCATAATGTTTGTACCAATTTACATTCCCACCAACATAAATTGTTTTTCTAGGGCTATTGCACACTTAATAGACTGCAGTATAGTGTAAACGTAACTTTTATATACACAGGGAAACCAAAAAATTCACGTGACTAGCTTTACCTCAATGTTCGCTTTATTGCTGTCATCTGGAACCAAACCTGCAGTCTCTCTGAGGTCTGCCTGCGTTGGTCCCTCCTGGCCCCGCCTTTCTCTCCCAGCACCAGTTCAGGCCCCGCTGCTCTGAAATCATGAACTCCGGAGGAGCCCCCGCCTCCCATTTCTCCAGCTCGGCTTCACCCATCCTCCCCTGTTCCCAGAGTCACTCAGAGGGCAAGGGTCTCCAGTTCACCCCAAAATGTCCTTGGGAGCCGGTCTGCCCACCCCCGGGTCATGCACTGCATCTGGTGGTTATGCCCCTGAACGTGGGGCCTCTGTAAGAAAAAGCACACAGCACTATGGGTATAAAATTACATGAAGCAAATATTTATTCAGAATGAGAAATTTCAAAATGATTATAAGCTAAAAGGTGACAAATCCACATATAGCACAACTAGAAAACTGTCAGACTACTGCTACTAATTCATTGCCTAATACAATTCTCTAGTGTTTCTTTTCCTACAATTTTTTCGCTGGCATGTTCTTTGATTGCCTCTTCTTACGACAGTAATTTTGTAAGGTTTTCTATAGGGACATTAGCAAGAAAATTAGTTGTTCCTTGAGCGTGGTTTATGAAATACCAACGGTCGAGGGGCACAAAACGCTTATCTTCCCCTGCGGGCATGTTGCTACTCACGAAATTGCTCCAGCTTGGCA